TTGAGTGTCTTAGTGTTGTATACACGTTAAGGGAAGCTTGTTTCCCTTGGTTGTACGAAGGAAAGGTATTTTCCTTCGGGTTGAAGTCTTGGAGTGCGGTATCTCCGAGCAAGGTTGTTGAGGCTCGTGGGACTCGAGTTCTCAGGTTGTAACGGTTTGTTAAGCACCCGTAAGCTTAACGGAAGTAGTGTAGCTCGAGAGAGTCTCTCGGGAGACTGGATAAGCCACACGTTGTGGTGAACCAGTATAAATCTTGGTGTGCTCCCTTTACGCTTTCTACGCTCTTTACTTTTCACGTTCTTAATTTTTTATTCCTGCGATTTCTACGATCAAACGCTATTCACCCCCCCTCTAGCGTTGGTCACTTATTCTAACAAAATGCAATGAAAGGAATTTTAGCCTAAAGAGCCAAGGTGTAAAGATTGGGTCGGTCTTGATCACAATTGTGACCGACTCAACGACACTAAGACTACGGTCTTCGTTCTTGGTCTTCTTTTGGCCCTTGTTCTCTTTCTTCTCATCTTTGGTTCTCGCCTTGTATATTCAATGACTTGTCTCGTTCACGCCGGTTTGGCATTATCAAAAACGTGATAAACCTATGTTTCAACATTTTGGGTCGGGGTAGTGCGCTGAGCAGGTAGGTGGGCCGAGGGTGTGTGTTGGGCAGTGGTGTTGTCCGAGGTAGGGTGGCGGGCAGCGGGCTGGGTAAGGGAGTGGTCGTAGGGTACGTGGGATGGTGTCGTCATCCGTGGCATCTAACAATCTAAGATCGTGGGTTGTGAGGGGATGACCATACGGGAAACAGGACTTGTCGAACACGACATGGCGAGAGATGATGAGTTTGTTAGTTTGGAGATCTAGACAGCGGTAACCGCGTTGGTTGTAGGGATGGCTGAGAAAAATACAACGAACATGGTGGTAGTGGCACAGATGTTAGAGTAACAGAGACAACCAAAAACTCAGAGATGGGAATATGAGGGTGAGGAGTTGTGAAAGATAGCATGGGGGTGTTATTATTTAACGTAGTGCTGGGAAGGAGATTAAAAATGTGGGCGGCCATGTGAAGAGCCTCAACCCAAAATTGGGGCGGGAGTTGGGCTTGGAAGAGGAGAGATCTAACAGTGTTGTTAAGAGTACGTAAGGTACGCTCAGCTCGACCGTTTTGTTGACTAGTATGTGGGGATGAAAATCTAAAAAGGATGCCTAAGGAGTCAAAAATAGTTTTAAGGGACAGGGGAGGGGTGGTGGGTATTATATGGCTTCCAACAGCTGTAGTGCGTACCTTAGATGCATCACCAACAGTGATATATAATGGTGAACATAAAGACTAAGAAGAAACATGAGAAAAATAACGACGGAATACAAACCGTCGTTGTTTCCGTCGCTAGGCCGATTCCCTACGGAAATCAAGCTTTAGCGACGGAATAATTCCGTCGCGATTTCAGCAGTTTTTTGTAGTGGTGGGATGGTGTTGTCATCCGTGGCATCTAAAAATCTAAGATCGTGGGTTGTGAGGGGATGACCATATGGGAAACAGGACTTGTCGAACACGACATGGCGAGAGATGATGAGTTTGTTAGTTTGGAGATCTAGACAGCGGTAACCGCGTTGGTTGTAGGGATAGCTGAGAAAAATACAACGAACATGGTGGTAGTGGCAGAGATGTTAGAGTAACAGAGACAACCAAAAACTCAGAGATGGGAATATGGGCTCGACCGTTTTGTTGACTAGTATGTGGGGATGAAAATCTAAAAAGGATGCCTAAGGAGTCAAAAATAGTTTTAAGGGACAGGGGAGGGGTGGTGGGTATTATATGGCTTCCAACAGCCGTAGTGCGTACCTTAGATGCATTACCAACAGTGATATATAATGGTGAACATAAAGACTAAGAAGAAACATGAGAAAAATAATGATGGAATACAAACCGTCGTTGTTTCCGTCGCTAGGCCGATTCCCTACGGATATCAAGCTTTAGCGACGGAATAAGTCCGTCGCGATTTCAGTAGTTTTTTGTAGTGGTGGGATGGTGTCGTCATCCCACTACAAAAAAATCGCGCATTTGTGAAGGACGTTTGTGAAGGATTTTACAGTCACTACTCTTTGTGACGACATAGTGGCGAATTTGCGACGGAAAAAGGCTCAAAAAGTTACGATCATGAAATGCCTACTTTGTGACGGATGGAGCCGTAACAAAATCCGTCCCAAAGATGACGCCGTAACAGTTACTTATTTGTCGCCTTATTTGTCATCACAAAAAGCCTTCACAAAATCAAAACATTCGTATGACGTATTAAAGGTCGTCACAAACTCCTTCACAATATCAATTTTTGAATTTGTGACGGATCATATTACAAACAATGGTTCTATATATATTATATATACTCCGTATATATTTATATATGTATATGTGTATGAACTCCATTGGGGATAGTTTTCTAGAACCAAAAATCAGACAAAATCTTTTTTATTTTTGATTGTATTGTATTCCTTCGGTAACATTATCATTGTTAAGGTACGTTAGTTAAACAGTTTTATACAAATGAATATTCATTAACAAATTTATATATACTCTGTATATTGATTTCTTAGATGCTTTTCATTTGACTCTTTACAGTTTCAAATTAAAATGAAATTATTGTTATAAAAATTATATCACAATTTAACATATTTTTTTTGCAATTTGTAATCAAAATTAAAAAAAATTATTATGAAAATTAAATAGAGAAATTTCAAATAGGGGGGGGGGGGGATAAAGTATC